ATTTATATATATTAGTGTTGCAGAGGAGCATTTGCACGGCATTTACAGGAAATTGTCGGCAATAATAGCCGAAAGAGAGTAGAGAAACATTAAGACTTTGGTAGTAAATCGATTTCGTATTTATTTAGTATAATATTTTATTGAAACGCTCCAAGTGCCTTTGCTGTTACCGGCATCTTTACTGCTACCGTATATACGATGGCGTGACCCGCTCGAGTTGCCACGTATTATCGTGGAATAAAATCAGGAGTCCATAACATAATTTTTTTTTTTAAATCCATAAAATTAAAATACTTCATTATCGTTTATTGATAAATAAATGTTATGGGTTCATAACTTAACTCTAATCAAACATCTGAGTTCTTTAAGCAGTAGAGCCTATATACAGGGTCTCTCTATCACGTGAATATTAGCTGTGTGTTCTCATTGGCATACATACACGCAAGACCGCATAAATCCGTCTATAGCATTGCATGAGCATACAAGAAAACCTTAAACTAAAATTAGCCATGCGAATTTACATGTTAAAATAGATGTAGATACATTATATCAGGAGTGAATAGTAACAGATTCTATTATATATTCTATTCTATTGATCTATTATTATTCACTCCTGATTATGTCCTTCTGCTTTTCAAATTATCACGATATATATTCATATATACTACTTTATTCTATTCTATCTAATCTTCTATTCTTATTTCTATATATTACACACACACATATATATATATATATATAGCTTTTCATGGATTTCATGACAGCGCCCGCTACTATAACTACAAATGTCGCTTTCGTAAATATGTTCTTTTTTATCAATCAATTTCCGTCGGTAAATTTTCTAATTTGCATCGATTCTCACATGAAGAGGCAATCCGGCACGAAACATCGCACTATACGCGCCGCTAGATGGCGGCACGTGGTTGCTACTACAGTTTGCGCTACCATGGACGATCTAATCTGGAGGACTAGCTATCTTGGGTCAGTTGACGCTGCGGTTGTAATAGAAATCCCGTGGGGGGGGGGCAGGAAGCAGAACACGAGGAATTAATCTGGGACACACACAGCAATAGCCATCTTTGATTTGTCTTTCTTTAGCCTCCGGATTTTGATTTCGGTATGAATACATCCACCTGATGTAGAAGGACCACCCACCTCTCCCATCACATCAGGCGTGTTTAATATAGTCTATATTGTATATGTGTAATATAGTCTATATTGTATATGTGTAATATAGTCTATATTGTATATGTGTAATATAGTCTATATTGTATATGTGTAATATAGTCTATAC